TAGTAACCGAGATGGTTGCGGGATTTAGCGGTGCAATCTCGAGCCACTTTGAGTAGGCAGTAACCACGACTAGGTACGTGATACCGTCGAGTGGGCCTGCGAAATCTATGTGCATATGGGACCAAGGCATATCCGGAGATTGTAATGGTACCGGCAGTTGACGACTGGGCATTTTGGCAGCCTGTTGGCAATGAGAATGGCGCCGAAACAAGGTCGTTGATGTCGCTGTCAATGTCCGGCCAGTAGGCAAAGCTGAGAGAAATGGACTTCATTTGACTGGTGCCAGGATAAGCAGCATGAAACTGGCGTAGCACAACCGGTCGAAGTGAAGGAGAAATGACCGCGCGGTCTCCAAAAATTAGGCAAAAATCCACAGCGATGCTCGACGCGAGAAGAGCTGGTGAAGATCGCCAGTGAGAGCAGAGGTGGTCCAACTGGTGTGAACATAGGAGATAGTTTGTCGATGCACGGATGCCGGCGGCAGTTACGGGAATACCTCGTATGGCGTCCGAAAGCTGTCGATACACTTTGTCCTCAATCGAAATAGCAGCAATCACCGTATCTTCTTTGGGTTCCTGATCATTGCGGATGAGGCGGGAAAGGGCGTCCACCTGGCCAAAGTCCGTAGTGCGACAGTAGCGGATATCGAAATTGTAACCGAGAAGAATGGTTGCTCATCGTTGAAGTCAGCTGGCTGAATAGACTGGGATGCTCTTCTTCGAACCGAAGATGGACAGTAACGGTTTATTTATCTATTGCTTTTCAGTTTACAGGTCATTTTAAAAATTGGAGTAATTGGTAAAGCACCTCTTGGGCGCCTTCCAAAACCTCGAAGACAGAGAAAAACCTAAAACAAACTTCCTCTTTTGCTGTCAGAACTGGTTTTGTTTTAGTTTTGTGCTTGCTTGAAAGTGGGCGAAATAGGGAGTTCGTTTCAAATGAAAAATTCAGACTTCAAAGGAAGGATAGTAACAAAAAATATGTACAGTTATAGATCGAGTTGACATTTTAGCAGAAAAAACTGCAGGATCAGAGTGTTCGCAGTCTTTTTTGTATAAAATGGTTTCGAAATTTTGCACCAGCAGAATTTTTAGCGGTGAACAATGGCTTGCTATCGGCTGAAGAATTAGCCGATTGCGGGCCGCAGATGCAGCACCATTATTTTCAGTATGAGGTCTGACAGGCTCAAAGTCCACGAACGCCAGCAGAGTGAAAGAGAGATTCCACTGCGTCAGCACCCAAAATTCGTGAAATTTGTCCTCAATGTAGAAAATTAGTGACAGCTCTCTTAAACAAAAGGTAGTCTTGCTTAGTTTTAATACTTCTGAGCAGCTTATTCCAGATTACTATGGCGTTTACTGAAAAGTATTCACAGTATCTATCTGTGCGTGCCATAGGAACAATGGCTTTGCGTAAAGCTTTTTGCCAGACCACAGGAAAACTTCTATCATAATTCCAATCGTTAAGTCCGGTTCCCGCTCGGATATTCATAATTATTAGGAGGTTTGGCAGATTTGTTTAATCTGAGTTGACCCAATTGTGAAAAATCTCGAGGCCTTCGGCGGGATTTGAACCCGCGTATCAGAGAAGGCCTTTACTGGCGGCCAACACTCTAACCGCAGTGCTCATAAAATGCCCTCTCTGGCTAAACGTTTTGAAAAACTAATTGCCAAAAAAGTTACAAATTTTTGCATAATCAATAAAATTCTCAGCTCCTCACAGTATGGATTTTACCGGGCCGATCTTGTGGAACATGCCACTTGTCTTTTCTAAACTTGCCTACTTCTCTTCCTAACGATCATCTATCAGAGGTGGTTATCTATTTTGATCTTAGTAAAGCATGCGATAAAGTACTTCATAGGCGGCTTCTAGCCAAAATAGAGGCTATAGGATTTCGTAGTCCTCTTACTGACTTTATCAGATCTTTTCT